AGACCATTACGACAAGATAGTTTGTGCTGAAATCCCGGACCCGACAAAGTATCCTGAAATGCACGAGCTGGTGATAAAGCATATGATGCATGGTCCTTGCGGCCATTTACGACCGTCTAGCCCTTGTATGGAAGGTGAGCCGAGAAAATGTCGTTTTAGATATCCTCAACAATTCAACGACAAGACGGTGCAGACAGATAACTCATATCCGATGTATCGGAGGAGAGACAATGGAATAAAGGTGAACGTCCGGGGCAATATCCTTGATAATAGATGGGTGGTTCCATATAATCCAAAGTTGCTAATGATGTTCAACTGTCACATCAATGTTGAGGTTTGCTCAAGTATAATATATGTGAAATATGTGTTCAAGTATGTTTACAAGGGTCATGACAAACAAGTTATTCATGTTGATCCTGATAGAGAAGAGGTCATTGTCAACGAGATAAAGAGATTTCAAGATGCAYGATATGTTTCACCACCTGAGGCAATATGGAGGATTTTTAGCTTTTCACTTTCTCAAATCCACCCTTGTGTGATGGCTTTGCAGGTCCATCTTCCTAATAAGCAGCTGGTTAGGTTYAGAGAGAATGATATAATGACAGATATCGTTGATAGAGAGAGAGAGAGAGACAAGAGCTCAATGTTAACCGCATTTTTTGAGAAGAATAGAACAGATATGAGTGCGAGACAATATTTATACAAAGATTTTCCAAAACATTACACATGGAATGCCAGTTCACGTAAATGGAATCCTCGAAAACAAGGATCAATGAGARGACGACTGGTTCATGCTAATCCTGCCGAAGGAGAACGATATTATCTACGCCTACTTCTTTCTCATATTAGTGGGCCCACGTGCTTTGAAGATCTTTACACAGTTAATGGCGTAATACATCCAACATTTCGAAAAGCAGCACTTGAGAGAGGTTTAATAGAGACCGACGATAATTTATCGCATTGTCTTGCTGATGCCTCCTTATTTCAGTTTCCCAATGCTCTTAGACGATTATTCGCGACGATCTTGATTTATTGTGAGCCGGGAGATGTTCGCAAGTTATGGGATGAACATTATGATTCACTYTCTGAAGATTATAGACGAGACTATGAAAATGTTGAGGGWGTCCRAAATATGGTTCTTASARACATCRYAGTCTTWTTGCAATYTATGGGTAAAAAYCTCGATGATTTTGATCTGCCAAGTTTAAATGCAGCTGTCAATTTAGAATCACGAGGATTTCGTGAGGTACAAGAGGAGTACTCCATAATTGTGCTAGACGAAGACTTAAATGCTCGAAACTCTCTAAATTCCGACCAGAAACATGCATTTGATGAGATCATGAGGCATGTAGATAATGATTGTCCAGCTGTGTTTTTTGTAGATGGACCGGGTGGAACTGGAAAAACATTTTTGTATAGAGCTTTGCTAGCTAATGTTCGTTCCCGTGGACTTATTGCTCTCGCAATCGCTTCATCCGGCGCTGCCGCTAATAACATGTCAGGGGAGAGAACAGCTCACTCTCGATTCAAGATTCCCCTTACTCTTAATAATAATTCGATGTGCAATATAAAAAAACAAAGCGRAACTGCTCAACTACTTCGAGTCGCAAAAATAATCATCTGGGATGAAGCATCAATGGCAAAGTGGCAGGCAGTAGAGGCACTCGATAGAACAATGCAAGATATCACTGGGGTGAGACTTCCTTTTGGTGGGAAAGTAATGATTATGGGAGGTGATTTTAGACAGGTGTTGCCAGTAATCAGACATGGTACTCRAGCACAGATCGTAGACTCAAGCTTACGGATGTCACCTATTTGGTCTTCGATTAAAAAGTTGYGGTTAACGATCAATATGAGAGCACTTACTGATCCATGGTTTTCGGATTTTCTGTTACGTGTCGGCGATGGAGATGAAGAATCAGTAGACGGAAACTTTATTCGCATACCTGATGACATGACCATTCCTTACACAAGTAAAAATGAGTCGAAGGATGCTTTGATTGATGCAATCTTTCCTTCTCTTCAAAGCTGTGAGACTGCTTCAGATTATATCATTTCGAGGGCGATACTAACAACTAAAAATGAGCATGTCGACGAGATTAATGATCAGTTGATTGAAAATTTCTGTGGAGAGGAAAAAATTTACTATAGTTTTGATGAAGTAGAAGATGAGAAGAATAACTTATATCCGATGGAGTTCTTAAACTCACTGACTGTTAGCGGTTTGCCTCCTCATTACCTTCGGCTTAAAATTGGATGTCCAATAATACTATTGCGGAATATCGACCCCTCAAATGGATTGTGTAACGACACGAGGTTGATATGTAGAGGTTTTCAGCAGAATGCTATCGATGCAGAAATAGCTGTTGGCCAACATGCTGGTAAGAGGGTATTTTTATCAAGAATTCCTCTATGTCCGTCTGAAGATGATATGTTTCCCTTTAAATTAAAGAGAAAACAATTTCCGTTCGACTTTGTTTTGCCATGACAATCAATAAAGCTCAAGGACAGACAATTCCGGTGGTAGGTGTTTATCTACCGGAATCGGTATTCTCGCACGGCCAACTTTACGTGGCATTGTCCAGGGACATCACGTGGCAATACGAAGGTATTAGTGAAACCTACCAAAAAGTTCAACCAGGAAGGAGTCTACACATCAAATGTAGTGTATCAAGAAGTTTTGAATGATGATTGTGTATGACAAAAACATGATTCTAATTTCTATTTTTTGAATGAGAAATTGCATTAATTTTTCATTTTCGGATTTTGATACAGATGTGAACCACCAACTATTTGAAAGATATTTTGCAAAAAAATGATATTTAAAATTTGAATATATATCCTGATAGAACCTTTACATCCTGCCGCATTACGTAAGAAGTTGAATACATATAAATTGATAGAACTTTTTACATCTTTTCAAATATATATCCTGATAGAACCAAATATAAATTTTTATCCGTAATTGATATGCCCATTTACATCTTCTCAAAATTTCACATCCCGCTGCATTGCGTGGGTATACAAATAGTTTTAAATATAATTTTTTTGATAGGAAAGTTGAAATCAATTTTTTTTTAAGTTTTAATTTTTGGTTCTCCACCTTTAACCCCACAGCTGGTAAACCCCTTTCTTCGTCGTCCGAAGAAGACTTCACGCCAGAAACTTCGAGAAGTTCCAGTAGACCGAACAGACTCTCTCCATGGCTAGGGTTCCGAGCAAGCATGAGCGCGATCATCACCTGGTAAACCTTACGCTTCGCTTCTTCTTCTTCTTCTTCTTCTTCTTCTTCTTCTTCTGTTTTACCAGAAATTTTGAAAATCAGGGCCTATTGTTCAAGAAATTTGAACTAAGTTCATGTTGTTTTGTGACCTTCATACATAGTTATAGAGCAGTGAAAGGAAAAAAAAACAACTTGGCTTTGAATTGAAACTATGCTCCAACTTTTGTTGTTATTCTTTAGTCGTTTTGCTCCTTACGGTTTTTGGATTCTCCTGCTAAATTCCATCCTTGCGTTAGGTCTTTAGCTTAAATTCATGTTATTGCATCATTGTTAGGTCATTTAGAATACCCTGTTCCCTCAATGTATCAACAATACGATTTTTGTAATTTGCATAGCTTGCTTGTTCTACCAGGATTTCGAGGGATTTTTGAATAACTTGCAGGATTGGGAACTTTCACTCAAGGATAAAGACAAGAAGCTGAAATCACAATCAGACATGGGGAAGATGGTAACTTGGACAAACTTTCATGTTGAATATTTGGTTCGTTGCCATATTGTTTATGTTAGTGTCTTACATGTCATAGTTCTGGTGGGCGGTGTCTTCTTCCTTGATATTGATACTGTTCAACTGTTTGAAGTATTTATGGAGATTTTACTAATTCAGCTTTATGTAGATACTGGGCTTTTTCATAGCCATGACATTAAACTTACTGTTGATGCTTTTGATATAGAACAAAAAGTGGGCATCTAATACCATTAGGTTCCACTTGCTTAGCATCGCAAAAGTATGCTGTTTGTCAGGCCCTCCTTTGCCATTGATTTTCCAGTCGCCTTGTCCTGGAGTCTTTTTTTAATGAATCATGATTGAAGTGTTAATAGTTTTGTGGTTGATTCGTAGTGGATTGCCAAAAACAATTCATCCACAACTTGCAATATTTTTATCCGTTTGGAGTTTATGAATACCCTCAGTTGTTTATTTTGCCAACATGATTTATGTCTTGGGACTTGCTATTAATTTATTAGGAACCTTCAATGCTGAATGCTGTTAGTAATTCGTCCAACCTTGGAGTTAATGGAAGATCACATGAATCAAAAGAGCCTGGAAGCGGAAATTCAAAGGTAAGCGGATTGGATAGTTATTGACTCATTGTAAAACCTGCAAGAAGCTAGTTTAGATGTTTTGGGAGTGAATAAAGTATATTTGAATATTTCAAAGGTTACTAACTTGATATACGTTTCAGAAGATTGGAGCAGTTGGTGTGGATAAAAGACAAATGGTTAAAACTTCATCTGTAAATCACTCTAGTACTGCCAGAGAAGAGGATTACCTGAAAAAATATGATGCAGTTAGCCGTTTATCCAGTGGCTTCATGAGAGATGACAGTTCTGTAGATGCTAATTCAGAGAAAGAGTTGGTATGAATTGTAGTTGTGGAAAATTTACCTTCTCAATCTTACGACAATGTTGATATGACAGAACATACTTTATGTTTTCTAGAGTAAATTACAATGATGATCCTTCAACCTGCAGTCCCAGTCATTTTACTTCTAGTTTAAGTGATTATCACTTTCAGTCCCGCCTGATGGATCTTTAGCCTGTTTTTGCTGATTGACCAACTTAATTGCACTGTGAAAAACCTATTCTGAGCAAGTTCTTCTGAAGAACCTGGGCCATTTTGGGAATCAACTTGGTTGAGGTACATTACCTGGATTTTGAAATTTTCAAACCCCATGCGTTACAGGCGGTGGTCGGATGTATGGTGCCACCATATGGTGGTGACAGTAACAGTTGACATTATTACTGTTGCAGGGTTGGACGTGAGTATTTTTATAAATAATTCTTTACCCTCAAAGCATAGAAACAGTTGGCTTTGAACATGAAGAGGAGGGAGGAGAAGGGGTTAGCGGGAAAAAAGGAGGGGGAAATGTTAGTGGGGGAAAAGGCAGGAAGTTGGGTGCTGGGTTTTAGCACTTGGAACATAATTTGTTTTGATTCCTCAAGAAATTTTGCACGTGACTAATTTAATGGAAACTAATGGATATATCAGGTTTGACAAAGGTGTTAAATCACTTTTTTCTTTTTGGATTAATGCAAATTAAGAAATAGAATGACTGAAACTGCAGCTAGTAGAATAGTTAGGGGGCAGTTTTTGTAATTATTGTTCTTTTTTGCTAAGTCTCTTTGTATTGTTTCACAGGGTAACGAGTTCTTCAAGCAGAGAAAATATAAAGAAGCAATTGACTGCTATTCCAGGAGTCTTGCACTATCGCCAACTGCAGTAGCTTATGCAAACAGGGCAATGGCTTATCTTAAACTTAAGAGGCAAGTTTTTTGTTCTTCTACATCTTATGTCCTTGATATAATATTTTTTATTTGACAAGACTTATTTAAAATAGAGGTACTGGAGCTTCAGATTTCTAGTCATTAAATAAATGCCACCGAACTTAGCCTAACAACAGTGCCTTCACTACTATAAGTCTTGTTGGGTGTTGGCATTCATAGAATTAATTCTGTACTTCATACATCAAAAGTAGGCATGTTACTTCTAAGGTGGCTTTTTCATTTATTCACCTTGGCCAAAAAAGCAAGTTTTCACTTTTCAACATCTAGCTGGATTACCATGAAAGCATGAAAGAATTTCAACAAGTAATTCAACTACACAACAACAGATACATGCCTGAAATTTGCATATCATCCATGTAATTGAAATCCTTCAAACATTGGATATTAATAAATACTTTATTCTACATTTTTTTATTTCTGTCCCCTTATTTTCAATTCATTAGATTCCAGGAAGCCGAGGACGATTGTACAGAAGCCTTAAACTTAGATGATCGTTACATTAAAGCGTACTCAAGACGTTCAACGGCTAGAAAAGAACTCGGTAAACTTAAAGATTCCAAGGAAGGTATGTTTAATACCTTAAATACCTTCGTATGTATGTTTTACTGAATATTTTACTGAATATTTTACACATAACCTTTCATAAGTCAAGTTATATTGATTTTCGAAAACTACAGATGCAGACTTTGCTTTGAGGTTGGAGCCACAGAACCAAGAAATTAAAAGGCAGTATGCAGATGCAAAATCTTTGTATGACAATGTATAAATTCTACAAAGTGTACATGTTATGGTTGTTTTGTCATTGAAATCTATCGTTACTTAAGCTGTTAAGCATGATATTTCCAGATACTAATCTCAAATAGTTACTTTGCTTTTTCTTGTGCTCTTCTGGAGAAGAATGTTGGTGTTACTTTTAACCATAAAATTATGGATCTAACAATATTGAGAATGGGATGTTAGAAGACAAGAAAGAAAGTCATGGTTTTCTTTCATTGACTGCTTGCTTTTTACTAATTTTAGTTAACGTCTTCAAACGTCTTTGTGCTTAATTGTTTGCTTTCTGCTTCCTTCTTGTTCTGTTGTCCGTAAACAATGTGTTCAAATTTTCAGGAACTTCTTAAGAAGGCATCTGCGTCGCTAAAAGGACCAACACAACAGGTGCAAAAGGAAGTGAAGCTGGATAATGTTCCACGATCTATGCCAAAAATTTCTGAAACAACGAGAGTTGCTGCACCTAAAACAGAGAGCATGGAGGTATACCTGATAAAACTGGGCTTCCTATTTATTTGCTTGATGTACATGTTCCTAATATGGGTATATATATGTGTGTGTCTGTATCTAATGTTGGAAGAAATGGTAATCAGCTTATGTGCCTTCAAAAGGCACCATTGTCAAATTTCCTAACAGATGTGATTGTGTTACTGTATTTTTTTCTTTCTATTCTTTCCTTCTGTTGATTGTTATGGGGTGATACTCAAACATACGGCAATCCAGGAGGAAGGGACTTTACCACTAGCTCCACTACAATATCACTGTGTTCCCTTGCTTTGCTGCAGTCTCTTGAGGTTATGTTGAGCAGTATGAAAAGGAAAGGTGTAGTCAAGAGCTCCTTGTGCTATGGCCTGTCAAGAATTATAATGAATTTTCAAATGTGGGAGGAGAATAGAGGAAAGTCCATCATTATGTTTCTATTTTGCAAGTAGGTTGCATGTCTAAGAGAGAAGGGAATGGCACCACATGCACTACAAAATAAACCAGATAAGAATGCTATGTGCTTTGTGAGTACAAAATTAACATGATACGACAAACACCACCTAAATGTTATATAGCTCAAGCTCCCTAGTGCTAGTCATGATGCATAAACATTTGCGTAAGGATGCACTTGTGTATCAGTATAACTGTATATTATGATTCGTCTTTGTTAATGTAGCTGAGGTTTAGGGTGCATTGGTTTCAATGCTAAACCGTTTTCTAGAATATGATACACTTGCATGTACATATTTGTGTGCGTATTCTTGCCATTCCAAAGGGAGTACTTTCTTCCCAGTCTGAATGCCACATGTGCTTGGGCGCATAGTTTGATGAAAGTTATTGATTATTAGTCAAGTGCGCATAGTTTGATGGAAGTGAGTGATTATTAGTCAAGTGTTCAAAATATCACTCTGCAGCGAAGTACATGAATCTTGGAACTAATACTGGTGCTGCAAATATTTTGTAAATGATTGCTAACAGGCAAAGAGGTACATTTGAATGACTGCGTCTAAAAGGGAACTGTTGCAATTTTGCACATTCACATTTTTTTATAGCATTTATTTTGGGATAGCAGGAAAACTGTTAAGGTTTGGATGTTTGCATATGGTTCTTGTGTCATGTTCCTTCCAGTACTTCATGAGATATATGATACACTGAGTTTTATTTATAGTCCACTATGTGAGTAGTACAACTCTATTATATAGTCCTAACAGAATTCAGCCTTTTATATCTTCTCAGAAAAATCACAATATTGCCAAGAAAGAGTTAAAAGAATCAGTCCAACAGCTTGCTGCTCGAGCAGCTTCTCTTGCCACTGCTGAAGCTGCAAAAAACATTGTCCCTCCAACTTCGGCTTATCAGTTCGAGGTTTCATGGCGAGGATTCTCTGGTGATCGTACTCTACAGACTCGTCTGTTAAAGGTATTTGTGAATTTTCATCATTTTACACCTCAAACATCACCTATCCTCACATCACCTACAGATTTGACATAGATACTAGTCCTATAAGTTGTATGTCAGGATATGCTCCTAGAGTCCTAGGTCCATTGCTCAGCTGTCTGCTTCCCTGTAACCACTAGATCTACCCCCATCCAAATTTAAATGTGACGGCTAAGGGGTTCACACTGAAGTCCAGAAGTAAATATCTTAAAGTTGTCTACACGTATAAAAGCTATTATTTGAATTTTTTTTTCTAATTTGAGAAATAAGCAAACTTGACAAGATTCTTCCTGAGTCAATGATCAATCCATAGAGATCTCAAATAAACATACTGCCAAAAACAAAGTGAAATTACAGTTTTGGACCCTTATATTGGTTCTAACATGGGCGAGTTTTTTGAGTTTTAGCTGATTACCGATTAGAATAAGCTGGAAAATTTTGACTATGCATCAATGATTCATATTTGGGACCACACATGGTTCATTTTGAACTAATCTTATATTTTGGATCCAGAAGGAATTTCAACTTAAAGCATTTGGAACCACAAGATCACATAACTTGTTAGTATTGTTTCTTTTTGTACAGCACGTCAGTTCCTAGTTCCTACTGTGGCGCATCATACATGTATTTATTGCTTAGCTGTGGACCTGATAGCATATTCCATCTATTGCTTGGGGAACTTGTGTTTTTCTGAATCATCTCAAGCGAGAAGCATGATTTTTATCGTCCCTTTCTAATTTTCTACTTTTCCTAGTTTCTTCATCTTATTTTCTATTATGTTGTACTTGATCTTTTTCTTTCTTTCTTTCTTGCCTAAATAGGCCACAAATCCTGTTGCATTACCAGAGATATTCAAAAATGCCTTGTCTGCACCTCTCTTAATTGATGTTATTAGGTGCATTGCCACCTTTTTCAGGCAAGTAGCTTAATTTACATATGCTGTCTTAGAAAGGAGTGTCTCGTGTCCCGTATTTGCTGAACAAAATTAATGTCTTATTGATTTGCTGCTTGACAGTGACGATATTGACCTGGCTGTCAAATACTTAGAAAATCTGCCCAAGGTGTCGAGATTCAATATGATCATCATGTGTCTTCCACCCGCAGACAAATCTGGTATGTTGGTACAGTCAGTATTTTGAATACTTGCTAAAAGTGAGCCATCAAGTGATGGGAAATAACATAGGGCTCAGCTCACCATGCTTTGGGGCTGCTTGTACATCGACAACCAGTTGGTTCCTAATGCGTTCATGATGTCATAATTTTATATTTTCAGCTTCTTTTCATTAGTCGATTCAATTGTAGTAGTTGTTGTAGGCAACATGGAATCTGTTATGACATTTTTTTTTCTGTATTTCTTGATAGATCTGCAAAGAATTTGGGATGAAGTCTTTTGTAACAAGGAAGTTGCAGCAGATTATGTTGAGATTCTTCAACAGCTGTGCCCAAAATACTGCATTATTAAGCAATAGAGGTAAACACAAGTCTTATATGTAGACAAGTTATCTTCCAGATTTTACCATGAGCGCTAGTGTCGAGATATGACAATGATTCAATCGGACTATGAAGTTTTCTTTCTTAATTTTGTGATCCCGATAGAATGACACAGATCATACTGCTTTTGCTGACAGAAATCTCGTTCTTCACACTGTTCAATCCTATTAATGATATAAGCTGTTTATATTCACTTGAGCTCGGTTTGTGACCAGAAATGTCGGCCCAAGTTGGAGTCTGGTTCGATAATTGAAGCTTACTTGTGTTTGATGCTGTCTGATTGAAGGCACACTGTCGGGTTTCTTTTGAAATCGGTTGGACTTGCGTCGATGTACAATTGTTTTTGAAATCGGCTGAAATTACTAATCGTTCTCCAATATGGTTTTTGTTGAACTCCTTATATATTATTCTTTGTTTTTTTTAAGGTTGGATATAGAGGCGGAGTCATTTTAATTGATAACCACCATTTCGTTCTTCCGTTGTGGTGTACAAAATTATAGGGTCGTGAAAGGTGATATCGTGTCATTTTGTTTCGTACGATCGTATATACTTTGAAACTGACACAAGTTTCTCTTGAGACTTGGTTTACATGTCTTTTCTCTCACCCCGGATACGGGTCAAATCTTGTTTTTACCACTTTCCTTGTTTTTACCTTTTAATTTCAGATTTATAATGTTTTTAAATTTTTTTGTAATAAAAGACTTGGACATAAAATCTCATATATGGAAAACCAACGAACTAACCGATAAACCAAAGATTATTTGGAAAAAATATCTTTATCTTTGTTTCTTATAGTCTAATGGTGTCATGTTCGTATTTAATTAGACTCATTAACCATTTGAGATAGATGATAATTCTTCGTATTCCGTCCACATGCTTTAATTTTGAATGAAAATCATATTAAAGCGATTTGATTTAGTAATATCAAACATATTGCTTATAAACATTCAAAAATTCAAAATATAATTCATCGAATTAAATATACCTGTATACCGATTTGTATTCGAAACACAATTGATCATATAGCATCAGTTTTTCATACAACTTGCTTTTAAAGTGATGGGAAAATTGTACCCAAATGGAACCAACTTTCACCTGATTTCTATTTTGGGGAACCAACTTTCAAAATCGTCATTTTGGAGAACCAAATTTCACTTGATTTTTATTTTGGGGAACCAACTTTCACCTGATTCCTATTTTGGGGAACCAACTTTCAAAATCGTCATTTTGGGGAACCAACTTGGACATGATCCTATTTTGGGGAACCAACTTTCAAAATCGTCATTTTGGGGAACCAACTTGCATCTGATTCCTATTTTGGGAAACCAACTTGCAAAATAATTATAGAAAAATAACTAAAATTCATTTCTTTTCAAAAATTAATGCAATAAAATCTATTTTTCATTTCAAATCTCGTTTTTTTAAATTCAGATATCAAATTGAAGATTTTTCGAAAAAATCCAAATTACCACGATAAAAATTGTTTTTTACTAATGCAATAAAAAAATCAATTTAATAGAAAAAAATTAATTGATGTAATAAAAAATAAATATTAAATATCACATTCAAGATTTTTATATCTAACCAATCTGTGTCAATATTAAAGTTTAAATCAAATTTGGCAAATCCAACCAAAAGTTTGATGGAGACCCTTAAATTATCTGTTACCTGTTCAACAGATCAATCAGACCCTTAAATAAACAAAAAGTTCGATAGAGACCCCTAAATGACGATTTTAAAAGTTGGTTCCCCAAAATAGGAATCAAGTGAAAGTTGGTTCCATTTTGGTGTAATTTTCCCATTTTTCTATAATTATTTTGCAAGTTGGTTCCCTAAAATAAGAATTAGGTGCAAGTTGGTTCCTCAAAATGACGATTTTGAAAGTTGGTTCCCCAAAATAGGAATCAGGTGCAAGTTGGTTCCTCAAAATGACGATTTTGAAAGTTGGTTCCCCAAAATAGGAATCAGGTGAAAGTTGGTTCCCCAAAATGACGATTTTGAAAGTTCGTTCCCTAAAATAGGAATCATGTGAAAGTTGGTTCCATTTTGATGCAATTTTCCCTAAAGTGATTATCTATACTATATATAAAGTATTTGATAAAAACTCTAAAAAACATTTTTTTGTGCATAAAGTATATAAAGTATTGTTTATTGATGCATATTACTTAAATTTAAGATTACAAGTAAATTTTGCTTAAGTACAACTTGTTAAAGCTTCATTTTTGAATTTGTGTAACTAATTATATATATATATATATATATATATATATAATCAAATACGAAATAGACATCTCATTTTGAATATAAAAAATCCAAAAATATAATTAAGATAATCATTAGTTATAATAAAATACTTAATTATTATATTTATAAAAATTATAATATTAAATGATAATAAACTACTTCATTGTTAAATCTAAATTAAATTATAAATAAAATATTGAATTAAAGAAATTACACAAAAAATCAGAACTTTAAATAGTAAATTTGATATTAATAAACCACAAGGGTGGTGCTTGATTGGTTTGAGCTTGAGCTCCAAAGGTCAAAAGTGCCCGAAGGTCCAAGGTTCGAATCTAAGGAGAAATAAAAAAATCCGCTTGTGACCACAGAGGTTCAAATGCGGTGACTCCGAGCTATCCGCGAAACGGGTGGTCGTCCTGGGATTAGTTGACTCGCATAGCGGGTTGGATATCCAGGTTAATAAAAAAAATTGATATTAATATCGATATTTTTTTTTCTAAATTTTTGTGATATATTTAAATTTATATTTTATTCAAAAATAAAAACATTATCGTTTTCTCAAAACCACTAAAAACCGTATTATATCGACATAGATAAATAATAAAACAAAACATTAGAATTAAGATATATATCTCACTATATTATGCGAGCATCATTCTAGTTATAATTAAAAAAATAAAAATAAAAGATATATGATTAAAAAAATTAGATTCACTAAAATTAAAAATAATTAAGATCATCAATTAAAATGACGAGGAAATATTATGATTTTAATTTTTTTATTACTTTAAAATCAAAATAATTAAATTAAGGGAAAAAAAAATCAGAATAATTGTAGACGCACATCCAAACACCAACTGCATGGAAGACGTGCTGTGCTGTGGAATCGTTTTGAAAACGTTAATGGCTTCTTGCAGTGAGCATAAGAAAAGGTTGAAGTTCAAATAAGAAGAAAAGTATTTACTCTCTCTATCTTCTCTCAACTCCACTCCTCTCTCAATTTCGTTGTGGGTAATCTGCAGCTCTCTTTTTGTCCCAATCAATGTTGTGGGTTTTGTACTTCATTTTACTTACATTCACAAACTACTCAGTCGTTGTGCGATGATCCTGTAATTTGTGATATGGGGTTTTCTGTTCTCATGCTTCTGGGTTGTTTGCAATTAATGTCTACTTTCCGATGATTTCTGTTTCAAAACAATAGTGGCATTTAGTGTAGAAATGCTTAAGACGGTGTAATTACATCCTTAATCTTCATGATTTTCGGTTCGAATTCTGGAATGGGTGAATATGTTCTTTAACGTTGTTCAACTTTTCTACCTTTCCTTGTATATTAGGTTTCGAATTTTCAAATTTTTGCTGATTCTCTCTCTCTTTCTCTGGAAACTGCATCTTGGGTCTATGAAGTTTTTGCGATTAAATTTCAGTTGTTTACCTCAAGGATAATTAGTTTCATTGCCATTATTCATGATTGATTTGGACTTTGGAGGAAGTTAACGTTCTAAACTAAATTTGTAGGAAAATGGGCATAATTTCGAGGAAAATACTCCCAGCTTGTGCAAACATGTGTGTCTGTTGTCCGGCTCTGAGGTCACGGTCTAGGCTACCTGTGAAGCGATACAAGAAACTGCTAGCAGACATTTTTCCAAAATCAGCTGTTAGTATACATTTATGATGGTTATGGTTCTTAGTGCCATTGTATTTTCAACTATATTAGAAGCATTTTGGTCTTCCAATTGGGTATCCAGATATGTTTTGTTATATGTATCCAAGTTCATAACTGTACTCGCAATTTGATGTTAAGGATACGAGGACATGGGTTCATGTATAAAGTCTATGTTCCCTCATTTTCAGTAGAATGAAGTCCTACTTTCTATGCAGGATGGCTCTCCAAATGAACGGAAAATTGCAAAATTATGTGCATATGCTGCTAAAAACCCTTTCCGTACCCCCAGAGTTTGTGATTGCATTGTTCTTTTTCTCATCTTAGCTAGTAGGTGATTTTTAAATTTGAATGGGATTTCTAATGTATTATGGGAAACTATATAGATTGCAAATTATCTTGAAGAAAGATGCTACAAGGAGCTGCGAAACCGTCATATCAAAATGGTTATTGTTATCACAGAGGTGTATAATAAGTTGCTCTGCACATGCAAAGAGCAAATGTAAGTTGTTTTTCTGTTCCCTTTACTTCCACCTAACCTTTTTTGGCTCATTTCCGAAATGGGTTTCAATTCTATGTGATAATTAGTTTGGGGTGGTCATATTGAACTGTTTACATAAGGATGAAGGCCCAGCATTCAAATTTGTGGCAACATTCTTGACATATGTTTTACTTATGCTGGTTTTTCTTTCTTCTGAAGTTAATGTTGAAACAATTAATGGAAGTTAGTATGAGAATAACACTGCTGTTTTTACTGAATTTCAGGGCATGTTTCGCTACAAACCTTCTGAATGTTTGTATTGCACTTCTGGATGACAATAAACGAGATACGGTCCGTATAATTGGATGTCAGACCCTAACTAGATTCATCTATAATCAGGTAACCTACGGGCTTTCATTTTCATTTCAGAAATCATTATCAGAGTTTTAGGTGACTAGTTGCTGATGACTATTATGGTATCTTTCATATTCAAGATGAACATAGCTTTTTGTTATACAAATTCAGAATCAAATATATTTTCTTGACCGCTAATAGTAGAATCCAGAATCAAATATACGTTCTATCAGGTTAGGTTGTATTACTATTGTCATAGTTATTTCATTAGAAGAACAGTTGTATGGTGACTACAACTACCAACACTCAAAAGCCCAAAATAGAGAAATTGACAATTGAATCATTCTATTGTAAACTAAACATGCTAAAAGTATATTATCTGCGTTCTTTTCTTGCTATAACGGTTATCATGTACACATATATTCTTACTTTTGGATGTTATTAACAGGTGGATGGAAGTTATGCGTATGACCTGGAAAACTTAGCTCCAAAAATTTTTGTGCTAGCCCACAAAACTCAGGAAGGAGATGAGAAAATCCACTTAAGGGCAGCAAGCTTGCAATGCCTTTCAGCCATGGTATAAGCTAATTGAAACAATAATGAATTGAATAGTTCTTTCTCATAAGCATTTGATTAGACTAGTCAATACATACAGGAGATTACAAGAGACATAAAGGAAACTAAATCAAGAAAAATCAGGAAATATGACAGCCAAATCCCTCAATTTAAGGGATTCTAACTAATTCTCTTATTCTAAGTTGTTCTAAATATCTACACTTCGACAACCCCCCCTCAAGCGGAGGAATAGATGTCTTCCATTTCCGACTTGAATATAAGATCATGAAAACTCGAACTTTTCAGGCCTTTTGTTAAATCATCAGCTAGTTCACATTTTGATGGCACATAACACATGCACACTAATCTTTTCTTTAATGAAATATGTATCAATTTCAATACGCTAGAGCTTCATAATGACCTTCCCATTGGACATGTAAACCATCCTTAATAATCTTCACCATAGTAGTTCACACTTCACACAGAATACCCCTAACTTCTGAATGCCACCATTTTGTTATCATGCAGGTTTGGTTTATGACAGAGTTCTCACATATCTTTGTTGATTTTAGTGAGGTTTGTCTATTTCTGCCACTTTACTTGTATGTTTATTAATTCTTCTAATTATTGTTGTTACGGGATGCAGATTGTACATGTCACTTTAGAAAACTATGAGCCAGATAGACTCGATGAAGCAAATCATAACTGGGTCCATGAAGTGGTTAGATGTGAAGGGAGGGATGTTGGCAGTGAAATAAGTTCTAGCTACATGATTGCTAGGCCACGTAAAGAAAAGAAAGATCCTTCCCTTTTAACCAGGTCATGATCATTACGTGACGGAGATTAAAAAAGTTTTACCTCAATTATATGCACTCATGGGATCTCTTAATGGCTTACATGTGCATGAATCTATTATCGTCTTAAGTTGTTTCTTGGCATCCATTACAGAGAAGAGATTGTGATGCCGAAAGTTTGGGCTCAAGTATGCATTCAAAGAATGGTAGAACTGGCTAGAGAAAGTACAACCATGCGACGAGTCTTGGATCCAATGTTTGTCTATTTTGATACTAACCGACAGTGGGTTCCACTTCATGGATTAGGTTTTGTGGTTCTATCTGATGTGGCTTACTTTGTGGAGAGTCCAGGTAACCATCTGCATTGCTCTGGTCAATTGCAGTCTGTACTTGTGGTTGCTACATTGTGGAATATCAAATCTTCTATGTTTTGCAATTATTCATTCTGATGTCAGGAAATCAGCAGTTGATATTAGCCTCTCTTGTTCACCATTTGGACCACAAAAATGTTTCACATGATCCCCAAGTTAAATCATACATCATGCAGACTGTTACAGCTCTGGCTCGACAAGTCAGGTCTGAAGTTGCACTCACAGATATTGGATACATTAGTGACCTTTGCAGGCATTTGAAGAAAAGCCTTCAAGCAACTGTTGAATCAGTCAAAGAACGGGAGCTTAACTTGAATACATCACTCCAGTCTTCGGTTGAAGATTGCTTACTCGAACTTGTGAGAGGGGTATGGTTGGTCTGTAATAAATTATTACCAAAACTATACTTTCTTTTGGATTCTAACTTAGATGTTTATATATTTTTGTTAGATCGCTAATGCACGGCCTCTGTTTGATAAGATGGCTATGACACTTGAGAAACTGCCTACCGGAGGAGTTGTTGCCTGGGCAATTACTGGATCGATGATTATCCTTGCCCATATGATCGTGGTATCTTCGAATTCACTGCAGGTGAGATGCTTTCTATGTAAAATGGTTTGGAGCAGATATAATAGTGACATAATTATAAACTAAAAATCAACATAAGTATGTCATGATGGTGGTTCCTATATTGCATTCTCATACTGAAAAATGTTATCGAGCTTTTCTTTTAACAGGTCTTTCCAGAGGGTCTTCATCTTCAGCTATTGAAATTAATGGTGCATCCAGATGTCGAAATACGTTCCGGTGGACATCATATATTTTCGGTTCTTCTCATCCCAAATTCTAAGCATTTAAGACATGATGCCTCTAATCACACAAGATGGAGGTCGGATGCTGCATCTGTGTTTACCTCAGTTGCATCTCTTCTTGACAAGCTTCAGAAAGAAAATGACGGAACCAGAGCCGGAAAACGTGAATTTCGTACTCTTGAAAAAATTATGAAAAAGGGTAACACAGAGTCCAAGATGAAGCAGGTCAAAAAATCCCCAAATTTTCAGAAATTATGTTCTATCATGGACAAAAATGGCGAAGAAATTACAGTTTCAGATGCAGTAAGCATTTTTTTGATATATTATTTGCATACATTCATACATATGTGAAGAAAATTTGTTGCTAAATTCAAGAAACAAGAGATTTATATAGAGAACAGAATATCCAAAAACTAGGAAACTCTAGCAAGGAGATTCTGTTGTAACAGGACTACTGGAAGTTCTGCAATCGACCGCGTTTAACTGCTTAGATATACATACATCATTACATTGTTGGTTGATGATTGTGACAGGAACCATCTGTTATGAAGTTTAACGAGGATCAAATAACGCAATTGATGTCAACATTCTGGATACAAGCCAATCTTCCTGATAACACACTTTCGAATATTGAAGCTCTAGCTTATTCCTTCTGCTTAACGCTTGCTACTTTGCAGCTTATGGTGAGATGACAGAGAGATGCATAAATACTATTGAAACTATACTTATATTGTTACACGTCTTCTGGGGGTTTGATACCTCACTATCCAACGAATAACATTGCAGAACCCCGATGAGAATCTCGTAGTTCGCATCTTTCAACTTCCCCTATCACTTTGGAAGATATCATTGGATTGCAGCCATGGTATGCCAACTGAACACTGTAGAATTTAAAATATTAAACAGAACTTACTTGCCAATCTAATGATGAAGTGTTAAGAAGCTAATAGAGTTTTTTGTTATTGTCAGAAATGTTGTGTCCGGCCCACCGGAGATCACTTGTTACATTATCAACTGCAATGTTGATGTTTGCTGCAAAGATTTATCGGATTCCTCATATTGCTGATATACTTGAGCCAATACTTTTATCTGATGTGCGCAGTTATTTTCAATCTTGTTTTCGAATGCATGACTGTAATTTTCATTGATAATCATCATGAATTAAATGGTTCAATTCAGGCGGATACCTACTTGGGTATCAGTGACGATTTGCAAGTTTATGTGAAGCCTGAGGCAGATGTAAGAGAATATTGTTCTGGCCATGATAATCAAGTGGCTGCTTGCTTGCTCATTGACTTGCGTAGCAAAATGCACGAATCTTACAAAACCATCATCGAAATTTTAGTCCAGAACTTATCTAACACTACCCAGGTATTGTTGAAGATGTGCTTATCATTTTGTTGTTTTAGGATATATGTTGAAACAGCCACTCTACTCTTGTCCGTATGCATCCCACCCCTCCCAAACCTTGCTTATATTTTGTACTTGTATTTCTTATGTCTGGTTTTATAAGGTGGAAGAAGAGGAGCTACATGTTGAATTATTGGAAACTTTCGCACCTGATGATTCTATACAATCGATACTTCATCTGGATCATGTCTGTAGAGCTTCTCGTTCAAAAGAAGCCCCTTCTCTCAACACGGTAGGCTATTAGATTATTGAACATGTAGGTTGGTTAACAGGAGTTCAATCGCTAGTAATTGGTGTATTTTATCATGCATCATTGGCAACATATCTTAAATGAAGATGCTGTTGTTGCAGGGAAATAGGATAGTTGAGGATGATGCTATGAGTGAATCTTCTGTTTCAGATCTTTCCCAATTTGTATCGACAACTCCTACACCAAACTCCATGTCTCATGTTATTAGCATCCGACAGCTTCTCGAATCAGTAATTCGTCTTCTCTTCTCTATCTGATCATATACTGGAACACTTTTCTCCTCGATATATGTTGGAGCCCCCTTCTAGGAGAGTAATCTGATGCGATGGGGTTCAACGTATGTCACATGATATCAGAGCTGGTCTCTACATTTGAGATATGGACTCATGCACTCTAGGACATCTGCTCGGCTAACCTCTATTGGAGGGGTCATGTTAGAGTCCCACATGGACACTTTCTCCTCAATATATATATGTTGGAACCAGAATTCTTTTCTTAAAAGGCTCTTTCCACCTATCTCACATAACAACACCTATTCAGGCAATTGAAGTAGCTGGTGAAGTGGCTGGAACATCCATTTCAGTTTCTCCAGTGCCGTTTGATGCCATGGCTGGCCGATGTGAAGCTCTTGGTGCTGATTCAAGAAACAAGATCTCCACCTGCTTTTCTCATCCAAACTTCAAAAAAGTGATTCCAGACCACATTATTTCCTTCGCTTCATCTTTAAAATAGATTGAAAGTCATTCGTTAACTTTGTTTTATGTGGGGATACATACATATATACAGGGTGATGAAGACGCAGAAATTTTTGGCGCAAGGACGATGGTCTTGAGGCTGCCTCCTACCAGCTCTTTTGATAACTTTCTCAGAGCAGCTAGATGTTAATAAAATCCATCTTTTGGATCATATCTCTACCAATCCTTTAGTTTAGGAGTTGGTAGTATCTTTAGCAATGTTCAAACCAGATACCATACATGGAATACTATCAATTACTCATATATTTTGCTTTATGATTTAGAATAAGATTTGTAATAAAAGTACATGCTCTTCTGAACCAAATCCAATGTTTCTGTTTGGATTCAGATTCAGATTCAGATTCAAATTTAACTGTTAAACCAAATGACATCACTCCCTTTGTCCATTCTGATCTTTCAGCCACATTAATGTTGAGTGTCTTCTTGATCTAATGAGAAACAATGTAATACATTGGATAAGAGTAAACTTGTATTTTTAAGTAATATTTTGACTTTAATCTGTATCGGGTATCATGAAATTTACTCGATGATAATTTAAATTCACGCTAATGATTTAGGCAGATACGATGAACTATAAATATAGAAGTCAGCTACGAACGGGTGGAAACACCCACCAATCAAAATATAGTGGCATAAGCAGCTTATAGGTCAACATAAAAACCTTAGGCATGACATGAGATACCAGTAGACTTGTAAAGCAATTTGGTGGTGGTTGGTTGTTGCATTTACGTTGGCAACTCACCACTTTGCCCGTGTTTACTGCTACTTGGTAAACACAATATAATCTACGTACACAACAAGGATTGATGTTGTTGAAGGGGCATGCATTTGTAATGCATCATACATGCATATGTTACATTGTTATAAACTTTTCCTAATCTCATCCCGAACTTGTAACCCTTTTTAGTGGCAGACCCCCACCTCGCCCCCGAAACAAGCTCTCCCACCTTGTGCATGAAAGATTTCGCCAAATGCTTAAAGCCATCAGCAACATTATCAACATCAACCAATTCACCGTCCCCTATCCTGCACATACCCAAATTATATATATATATATATATATATATATATATATATATATATATGAATACCCAAATTATATATATATATGTGATCAACATAAAATTCTTTGAAAAGATATTGCATATTAATTGTTGATTGAGACATTTTAACAAGTTTTTTCAGCTAAGAAAGTTGAAAGTATTTTAACACCATGAAAAAAAACCTTTGATACTTTCTTTTGTTATTTCTATATCTTCTCCAACTGAATTTATATCTATTTCTGTTTGTTCTAGTTCTTTTTTAATTAGAGGGATATTTGGGCAATAAGGAATAAAATAAGGATCATAAAGTATTTGATTTAATCTATATTTATATTTTAGAAGATGCTTTAAATCTTTTCTTAATTCGTCTAAATGATTTTGACTTACTTCTAGGGCTTTCCATTCTTGTTTAATCATTTTTATATGATCTATGTAAAACCCGTGACGTACTTGAATTTTATTACTCATAATTGATTTTTGAAATTATTTAATTCAGATAAAACTTCTGAACGGGTAGGGCTATATCCTTCAGAATCATTTTCTTGATAAATTGGTTTTGGAATATTTGCATTGAAGTCTACATATTTTAAAGATTTAGATTTTGAAATCAAAGGTGTTTTCATATCAACGTTACTGTTTGAACCTGTAGAAAACCTTGCCGGAACAAATGGAAAAGACTCGAAATTAATATCTATTGACCCATCTTCATGTTCAGTAATATTTGAGTGTTGATTAGAACTTTCTATTTGTTTAGGTTGATGAATATTTTGAAGATTCCAGTTGCAAGATTGAGTAATTTCATTCCATTTAAGACGTTCTGGAATTTGAACTTTAGTGTGTAGGGGATTTGATTCAAATATTATGGTTTCATTTCTTGGACTTGCTATCTTAGTCTTTGGCTCGATTGTTGAAGACATAGACTTGTAACAAATTCGATAAATGACTACGACAGCTTTGGTATCTTCTTTGAATTCTAAATTCTTAGTTTTAATTGTTAAAACTAAAGTATCTAGAATATTTGGATCAAATAATCCTACTGAAAATTTGGATAACAATTGAAATAAATTGGACCATTGGAAATATTAGTTTCTGCCATTGCTAATATTGAATTTTGAAAATTAGTATGCCTAGTATCTCTTAGAATTAAGAGGACAGGGGCATCTATGCCTAGTCTAAACAATGGTTTAATTGCTACTTGAACTAATCTAACATGTAAGAATTTATATTTCTTCCTGTGTTGAATTATAGCAGTTTATGATAAAAGGTTAAGATTATCATGATCTTTATTAATTGATAAGGTTTGTTCTGTTGCTTTAATTGAATAACCTTGAGGAAAATCAAAATGACCTATTTTATAAATTGTATTAACATCTTGTTTTGGAATTGTCCAGTTTGATAAACTTTGTTCTATATCACTAATATGAATTTCTGATGAATTTAAATGAAGATCTTGTTCTTCATTGATTTCATCGCCAGAATTATGTCTTCTAGGGAATAAATTCATTATTTTATCTATATTAACTCAATTGTGCTTAGATTTGAGTATTGTTTTTCTAAGAAAATTAGATCTTTCTAATGATCTTTGGGCTATTAGTGGGACCACCTACAGTGGGAACACCCTTGAATGCAGTGGCGGAAGACATCGAAGGAGCAGAACTCGATTCAGGTGTTGATGATTTTCTTTTAAAAAATCTTTCCATTTGATTTGCCTAATTGCCTACAAAATT